TTCCTCAGCCAGCAAAGCTGGCTGAGGAACTCTGGGAGTTGAAGTCCGCTAGTCTTAAAGTTGCTAAGGTTGGAGATCCCTGTTTTAATGTGTAATGCTGAACATTTTAAAATGCTTTTGTTTTGTGCTTTTAGGATGTTGTAAGTCATCCTCAGTCACTTGAGGGTCACGTGGGCAGCATATATACTTCATAAACTCTAGGACATTGAACAACTGAAGGGAAGACAGCCAATGAGAGGCCTCCATGTGCCAAGCCCTCTGAGGGTTACCACCGTTCTCTGGTGGAGGAATTCTGGGAGTTGAAGTCCACAAGCACAATTTGCTGAGGTTGGAGATCTCTGCTCTAGCCCAAAAGGGGACGCTTTTTCCCCGTGAGCAGATTAACAGAGTGGGAAGGGACCTTGTAGGACATCTAGTCCAACCCCTTGCCCAATCAGGAGACCCTAGACCGTTTTGGACAGATGGCAGTCCAATCTCTTCTGAAAGCTTCCAGTGATGAAGCTCCCACAAGTTCTGAAGGCAACTTCTGTCTCATTGTTCTCAGAAAATTCCTACTTATTTCTAGGTTGAATCTCTCCTTGATCAGTTTCCATCCATTATTCTTTGTCTGGCGCTTTAGAAAATAGATTGACACCTTCCTCTCTGTGGCAGCCCCTCAAATATTGGAAAACTGCTATCATGTCTCCCCTGGTCCTTCTCTTCACTAGACTAGCCATGCCCAATTCCAACAACCATTCTTCATATGTTTTAGCCTCCAGTCCCCTAATCATCCTGGTTGCTCTTTGCACTTTTTCTAGAGCCTCAACATCTTTTTTATAGTGTGGTCACCAAAGCTGGATGCAGTACTCTTAGGTGTGGTCTTGCTAAGGCTTTATAGGGTGGTATTAGTACCTCACTTGACCTTGATTGTATCTCTCTGTTAATGCAACTTAGGATTGTGTTGGCTTTTTTTGGCTGCCGCTGCACACTGCTGGTTCATATTTAATTGGTTGTCCACTAAGACTCCAAACCTGATGAAAACACAACTGAATGAAAAACTGCTGGTGACTTTCTACCGCTGCACCACAGAGAATATCCTAACTTACTGCACCTCTGTATGGTTTGCCAATTGCACAGTGGCAGATAGGAAAGCGCTCCAGAGGGTTAACGTCATTGCCCAGAGGATCATGGGTTGCCCTCTCCCCTTTTTGGAAGAGCTTTATAGCTGCCGCTGCCTTAAGAAAGTTCAAAACATTCTCAAAGATCCATCTCATCCTGGGCACCCCCTTTTTTTGAACTATTACCATCTGGCAGACGGTACAGGATAATAAAAACAAGGACAAATAGGCTGAAAAACAGCTTCTATCCCAGGGCAGTAACTCTATTTGATTCTACTATATAGTGCAGTGTTGGTGCGATGTTGGGGGTTTTCGGTTCCATGTGTAGAGTGTGAAGGATGTGTGTTTGTGTTTATTTTCATGGCCATGATGTGCACTGAAGATGGTGTTTGACAATAAAGTAAACTAAACTAAAAAAAAAAATAGAGGATCTGACTATCTTTGTTAGTCAGATCCTCTATTTATTTATTTTTAGTTTAGTTTACTTTATTGTCAAACACCATCTTCAGTGCACATCATGGCCATGAAAATAACCACTTGGGGAGGAGGCCAAAGGCTCTCCGGTCAGGGATGAATCACAGCCTTCCAAGTTTGAGGTGAGCCAGGTCACCCCGAGAGATGCCTCTGCAAGATGCCGCTTTGCCCTACCTCCTCCCCCCACCCCTCAATCCACAAAAGGAGAGCTCACCTGAAGCAGAAGCAGCCCCAGGACCAGCGTTCCTCCAGGAAGAGATTGACAGCCAGGAAAAGGATAGCCATGGCCACCGGGTCATTGAAGAGGCGCAAGACGAAAATGGAGTGGATGCGGTAGGAGGCACAGCACATGAAGAAGAACACGTAGGGAGGGACCTAGGGGAAGAGGGGGCAGTGGGCAGTCAGAGTGAGCCATACAGGTGGTCCTTGACTTACAACCGTTCGTTCAGTGACTGAAGGGACAGCGGCACTGAAAATGGTTTGAGTTGTGACCGTTTTTCACACTTAAGAGGCTGCCACTGCAACATCCCCCAGGGTCCCCTGATCAAAATCCAGATGCTTGTCAACTTGACTCATATTTATGACAGTGGCAAGCGTCCCGGGGCCATGCGATCCCCTTTTGCAACCTTCCGACAAGCGGTCTGTGAGGAAGACGGACCCACTTAACAACGGTGTTGCTAACTTTAACAACTGCGGTGGTTCGCTTTAACGGCGATGGCAAGAAAGATCGTAAAAGGCGGCAAAGCTCACTTAGCGAATTTCTCACTGAGCAATGGAAATTTTGGCCTCCACTGTGGCCGTAAATCAAGCACTACCTGCATTCCCATTCGGTTCACTTAATGGAACCACCCCCATTTTCTTCTCCATGCAGAGCGAAGGCCTCATTTCTTCCTACCACTGCAAAGCTTGTGTCAACTCATAAAATATGTCTCTGGTCTTTAGAGTTGCCAACAGAAAAGGGAGGGGGTTGGAGTGCAGCAGGTTGGAAATCAAAAGTGCATTCCATAAATAGTTTTTCAGATAGTAACTAGGGGACTGAAGTTTCTGTCGTGCAAAATTCTAATTGGAGAACATGATTGATGACTCTTGGCTATGGATGTGTCCCATTGGAGAATATGAATTATGATACACCCAGGGGGTGGGGGAAGACCAGGGTCAAGGGTGACAATGAATGATGTGCCTCATAGTGTCAGCTAGCTGTCAGGATTCTGGCAGTCCCCCCCCCCCCATTTAAATCATGAGTCTCGAGCCAAACTTCCAAAACTTAAAAAGGATTTATTGGGAGTTAACATGTCCGCCACTGCCTAGGTGTAGCTGACTCTGAAACACATCATTCATTGTCACCCTTGACCCTGGTTTTCCCCCATCCCCTGGGTGTATTGTAATTCATATTCTCCAATGGGACACATCCATAGCCAAGAGTCATCAATCATACTCGTCAGTTAGAACTTTGCACGGCAGAAACTTCAGTCACCTAGTTACTATCTTTGAAAACATTGATGGAATGCAGTTTCAGTTTGCAAGCTGCTACACTGCTCCCCCCCGCCCTCCATCCATTTCTGTCGGCAACTCTAAAAAGACCATAGAAATATTTTTATCAGTTGACAGCTTGGTTGGGCTTCTTTTATTTAGACCAGCCTTTGGCACTGGTCACGGTAGGTGGCAACACTTCTCTAAATTGGGCTGTTGTTTAAATAACTAAACAGGGTGGGTTCTAATTGCTCCCCAAATGGGAGGCCACTTGGAAATCACACGGCTGTCGCTTAAGACTTGGAAGCTGAGGGGAAAAAAATAATAATCCCACTTAGGTAGCCCCGTCACAGAAAGGGAGGCATCCCTATATTCACCAGGAGTCAAAATCAACACGACCTCACTTTTACCAGCAGCATGGACAAAACGTGTTAAGAGGTCTTCTTTGGTTTTCCAATGCAGGGATTTTGGGGTAACCCTTTAGCACAGAAGCCCAGTGGCTTTGAAAACTCCGGGAGGGGAGAAAAAAAAAGCTTCACACACGAATTCCACCATGTTACAGGTCGTTCTCCAATTTACGACCATAGTGGAGCCTGGGTGCGATCATAAAACGGATCACGGCATGACATTACAACCGACCATATTTTACCACTTTTTTTTTTTTTTAATAGTGGCCGGGGAACTGCATTGTTTGCTAGGGGGGTGTTTTTGCCAGAAGTTAAACACCAACTGTCAGCAAAATAAATAAAAAATGCGGTGAACACAGGTGATCACAGGATACTACAAACCCCCACAAAATTGGGCCACTTTTTGAGTGGCCAAAATATGGTCATGTGACCAGTGGTGAGATTCAATTTTTTTTTACTACTGGATCTGTGGCCGTGGCTTGGTGGGCGTGGCAGGGGAAGGATACTGTAAAATCTCCAGTCAGAGGGGACATTTGCCGGTTCTCTGAACTACTCAAAATTTCCGCTACGGGTTCTCCAAAACTGGTCAGAACCTGCTGAATACCACCTCTGCATGTGACCATGTGGGACAGAAAGGATTCCACCAGAACTTTAGAATTGGATTAAGTGCCTTTTGGGAGATCAGGTCAAAAGTCAAGGATCCCTCTACTTAACACTGGACTTTCTCCGGGATAGCAAAAAAAACCCTCCTTTTTAAAAAAAATTCTGACTTAACTTGCTGTGTGCATTGTATACCAGAAACTCCACAAAATGAATAATTTGTAACTTTGAGCAATGGCACTTCCTAGAGCAGTGATCCCCAACCTTTCTTATGCCGTGGCCCGGTACCGGCATTAGCTGGGCGCCGCCATCTTTTTTTGATGAAAAAGTGCTTCCGGTGACCTCACCGGAAGCATTTTTTCATCAAAAAAAGATGGCGGCGCCCAGCAAACCAGCGGCCCGGTAGGACTTGTTCCACAGACCGGTACCGGTCCGCGGACCGGTGGTTGGGGACCCCTGTCCTAGAGTTCTCCCTCCCCGCGAAGGACCTGCCCCCCATTTATCCTGGGCTTTTAGGTCATAAAGTTCTTCCTGGGCTTGGGATGGACGTACAAGAGGAAAACAGATCCTCTTTTGCACTTCCAGAAATCCCACTCTGGCTCCTGACCTTATTGGTACGGCTGTAGATGCGGAAAACCAGCAGCAGGGTGGCCAGGTAAAGGGTGGCAAAGAAGTACTGTGCCAGGCGGATGTTGGTGCCTCGGTCGGTGGCATAATACAGGCCCATGAAGATGTAAACAAAGCCAGCAGGGTACCTGCAGTTGGGGGAGAGAGAAAGGAAGGGGGGTGGTTAAAGAAGGAGCAAAGAGAAATTTCCTGGGTGTCAGGTCCGCCATCGTAAAAACCTTCAGCGTTTGCTTTCGCTTTGCTGGCAGCCTGGCGTGGGGGGGGGGGGGGGGGGGGGGGGGGGGGGGGGGGAGAATGACAGGGAGCAAAGGTGCCGATCCAGAATAGACCCATGCATCCAAGGACATGAATGTGAGAAGGCAATGTGAAACCTTAAAGCAGTTATCACCAACGCCAAATTCAAAATGCTTATTGGACGTGAACGAACTGGTCGAGAGGGGAGGGTGTGGGAATTGGGGGGAAAGGCAGGTTTTGGAGCAGGAATATTTCAGATCCAGCTGTGCTTATGCTGTAACCACCTTAGTAAAAGTTGTAATCTTTTGCTACAAATGGGAGTCGAGGGTCTTTCTTTCCTAAACGCTCACGCCGAGACTAGCCTGACACTTGGTGTGTCCGTGCTCATTTTCCCAAGGACTCTCCCTCCCTCTGTTCCTGACTCACAATGCCTACTTGGCATCAAACTTGGTTACTGGAGGGACTGGCTATCTCCCATAGGATCAGCCTGCCAATTTGATCCTAGGGGAGGTTGGAGTCCTTGGGGTTCCTTTGATTAAACAATGTCACATATCGAGACACCCCCCTCAAATGCGCTTTCTCTGCAGCGGCACCTGCTCTCTGGAACGAGCTTCTGCCAATATCTAGATGGCCCCCACTGTGCTGTTGTTTAGAAGAGCTATAAAGACCAGAATTGTTGAAGAGACTTATCAAGACCTTTGTTGACCACCCCATCTGTCATGTTTGCTACCCTTAATCTTTGATTGGCTGTACAGGTAGTCCTCCTCTTATGGCCACAAATTTCCACTGCAAAGCAAGACACGCCGATAAGTGGCTTTTCTCCCCATTACCACAACTGCTTAAGTAAATCTCTGCAATTAAGTGAGTAACCCGGTCATTAAGTGAACCTGGCCTCCCCAATTTGACTTAGCTTGTCAGAAGGTTGCAAAAGGGGACCCCGTGACCCCTGGGATATTGCAACTGTCATAAATATGAGTCAGTTTGCCAAGAGTCTGAATTTTGATCACGTGACCATGAGGATGCTGCAAGTCGCAAAGTGTGAAAAATGGCCATAAGTCACTTTTTTTTTCAGTACCATCCTAACTTCCAACAGTCATTAAATGAATGATGGTAAGCCGAGGAGTTCCTTTAATGTAATTTGATTGTTGTGAGCTATCTGGAATCATCGGGAGTCGGGTGCCATACAAGTCTGACAAATTATGTGGTTGGTGATGATGACGATGGTTGGACCCACAAGAGCTTCAGCAAAGTTGGAAGATTATAGGTACTCACACGAGGGGTCCCGTGTCCCCTTTTAGTTGGGTGTAATCCAGTGTCCCATTCACAACCCCCTCCACTTCATCCATGTAGGCTTTCCAGTCGATCTCGGTATCTGTGGGGAAAGTGCACAGATGCTCATCAGTTCCGCTGCCAGAAGGTCTTGCGGGATTGCAAGGCGATCCAACCGGTCAGCCCTAGAGGAGATCCACCCTGACTGCTCTTTAGAAGGCCAGATCCTGAAGATGAAACTCAAAGACTTTGCCCCCCTAATGAGAAAGGAAGGACTCCCTGGAGAAGAAAAGCCTAATGCTGGGAACGGTTGAGGGCAATAGAAGAAGAAGGGAAGAAGGCAGAGAATGAGGGGGCTGGATGGAGTCACTGAAGCAGTCGGCGTGAGCTTAAATGGACTCCAGAAGATGGTAGAGGACAGGAAGGCCTGGAGGAACGTTGTCCATGGGGTCGCGATGGGTAGGACACAACTTCACAAATAACAACAACAAAGGACTCTAAAAGAGATGGGTGGTTAAGAAATAGGAAATATAAATAATTAAATAGCCTGAAAGACCTGTTCTCTTCAATTTCACCATCCCAGAGCCAAGTTCAGGTAATCAAAGCACACCTAGTGCAGGCCAGTTTTCTCCTGCTAAATAGAATAGAATAGAATAGAATAGAATAGAATAGAATAGAATAGAATAGAATAGAATAGAATAGAATAGAATAGAACAGAACAGAATAGAATAGAATAGAATAGAATAGAATTCTTTATTGGCCAAGTGTGGTTGGACACGCAAGGAGTTTGTCTTGGTGCAAATGCTTTCAGTGTACATAAAAGAAAAGATACATTCATCAAGAGTCAAGAATCATCAGGTACAATTACAGTTCTATAGAGGAATTGTTGAGTCTGTCATCTGCACCTCTACAACTGTCTGGTTTGGTTCTGCAACCCAACAGGACAGACACAGATTTCAGAGGATAATTAGGACTGCAGAAAAAAACAATTACTACTAACCTTCCATCAAGGACCTGTATACTGCATAAGTCAAAAAGAGGGCTGTGAAAATATTTACAGACCCCTCACATCCTGGACATAAACTGGTTCAACTCCTACCCTCAAAACGACACAATAGGGCACTGCACACCAAAACCACTAGACACAAGGACAGTTTTTCCCCGAACACCATCACTCTGCTAAACAAATAATTCCCTCAACACTGTCCAATTATTTACAAAGTCTGCATTACTATTACTATTAATTTTCTCATCACTCCTTATTACCCATCCGCTCCCACTTGTGACTGTATGACTGCTTATTGTACCGTATAACTATTAAGTGTTGTACCTTATGATTCTTGACTCTCGACAAATGTATCTTTTATGTATACAGAGAGCATTTGCACCAAGACAAATTCCTTGTATGTCCAATCACACTTGGCCAATAAAAGAATTCTATACTATTAATAATAGTCATAGGTACAATAAGCAATCAAATCATACTAGGAAAACAGTCCATATAAATCATAAGGATACAAGCAACAAAGTTACAGTCATACAGTCACAAGTGGGAGGGGATGGGTGATAAGAAGTGATGAGAAGATTAATAGTAATACTAGTGCAGACTTTGTAAATAGTTGGACAGTGTTGAGGGAATTATTTGTTTAGCAGAGTGATGGCATTCAGGAAAAAAACTGTCCTTGTGTCTAGTTGTTCTGGTGTACAGTATAGCATCGTTTTGAGGGTAGTAATTGAAACAGTTTATATCCGGTATGTGAGGGGTCTGTAGATATTTTCACAGCCCTCTTTTTGACTCATGCAGTATACAGGTCCTCGATGGAAGACAGGTTAGCAGTAATTGTTTTTTCTGCAGTCCAAATTACTCTCTGAAGTCTGTGTCTGTCTTGTTGGGTTGAAGAACCAAACCAGACAGTAATAGAGATGCAGATGACAGACTCAATAATTCCTCTGTAGAACTGGATCAGCAGCTCCTTGGGCAGTTTGAGCTTCCTGAGTAAAATACATGATTATGCTTTGGACAAGTTTTCAGTAGCCAAGATGACAAGTGATGGATTTTTTTAAAAAAATATTTTTCTCTTTAGCTTTTAGCAAAAGTCATTGTTGCTGGTGTTACCACTAAGTTAACATTTCCTAAACAAATTGACAAACTACAATTTTGATGATACAATGTGGCAGGTATTTGTGTTCAACGCATGATGCAGTTCCCTGGAGGGGTACAAAACAAAATACTTCCACCTAGGCATATCTTGGCACTGAAGGCTTCTTTCTGATCTCACTAGAAGGGTTTTGACGTCTTACTGGAAACAATTCAATCTCAAAAGGGACTATTTTTGCTTTGCCATTAGAAAAGCCAGATTCCAGGCCAGAATTTTTATTTATTTTAGAAACTAGCAGAATGTTATTAGTTTAATAGGAATGAGGTGGGATTTCATGCAGAGCAGTGTTTTTTTAATGTTGACAATTTTAAGGTGTCTGGACTTGAACTCCCAGAATTCACCTGCCAATATGCTGGCTACGGAATTCTGGGAGCTGAAGTCCACACATCTTAAAGGTTGGCAACATTGAAAAACACTGGTGTATGGAATGCTAAGATACGAATTAAATTGACTGAAAACTTAGTTTGCATGGTCTCTGCACACATGATGCAAATGAAATAAAACAAAATCTTAAAAAGTTATGATATTTATGTAGTTACTTACCAAGCGCATATAAATTATATTAAAGTAACCAAAATATCTTTTCAATTCCCAAGGCATGTCACCACCCTAATGTTTGGAAATTGAAAGTTGAAAAAGTTGACACATCTAATTAGTGCAATGCTCATGAAATGATTTCTTTAGTTTAAAATAACATGTGAACTCACATTTCCTTTGACAACAGAATGATACCGGGTACGTTCACCAGCACACCTTACCTGGTTATTGGATTAACTCAATTTTCAGCCTTGATATGATACGGTGAACGAATGAAAGAAGCTAGGTTTGCACACACTTGCTGTGCTATTAAAATGTCTACTATGAATACTAAGTTTAGTGTATGTACAAAAGCCTCCACTTGATCGTTAACTGACAAGAATAATTGAAACACAACTGTTGAAAAGGACCGCCAAGGTTGTCAAATGTGTGTGTTACACAACCAGAAAGACACACTTCCTCAATTCAAGAATCTAAATTAAATCAACCAGGACTGATGGCTGTCCTGTCTGCCCACTGACTGCTTCCTTTAGAAATTGGTTCACTGTCAAACGGCCACGGACTTTTTCCTCTAACATTCAAGTGGCTAACATTGACAGGTTGGGTGAATGCCCAAAAGGTAGGTGGTCTTGAGTGGGGGCGGGGGGGAACCCTCTGAAGAACTGGTTCTTGAGGCACAGGATTTCAAGATACATAACTTCTGAATGTCCCTTTTTCTCCTTGGTGCTCCACACGCACACAGCCTGCAACCCTAGACAGAGAACCGACTTACTTACGAGATTTGGTTTCCAGCTATTTAAGTTCAACAGAAAAAGAATCAAAAGCACAATGTCTGATTAAAATTATGAACGAGATGAGAGAGATTCTTCCCTTCTTTTCTTCAAGATTACAGGCAGGGGAGAAGGAAATATTTATTGCGATCTTACTAGCAATACACCATCGGATGCCGTGATTTGCCATGCATCCACAGGGGATAAAGGCACAGCAGTTAGATCAGCGTTTGTCAACCTTGGCAACTTTTAAAGACGCATGGACTGCAACTCCCAGAATCCCCCCTGGGAGTTGAAGTCCATACATCTTTTAAAGTTGCCAAGGTTGACAAACGCTGGTTTAGACTATGGGCCAGCCCAAAATACCACTTGCACGGCTCCCATTCTATCCTTGGCAACCTCTCCCCTCCACTCATCCAAGATTCTAGTCCTCAAGGTTTATCAACGCACCCAAACCTGCAGACCCCACTGGCACTCGGCCGCCCCTCCTTTCCTCCCACACCAACGGGGCGCCCTCCCAATACATCTGGCCAAAGACCCTGATTGCCGAGCCTCCACGGATGATGGGAACTGGAATCCAAATCCTCTTGGGGTGCCCAAGGAGGGACAGCCACCCACCCACCCACCCCCGGCGACTCACATGCCACCCTCTGGATGACCCAGAGGTTGACCCCCACTTCGGCCAAGCAGAGGCAGGCGGCCACCAGCGGGGTGAAGCGAGGCTCGAAGAGCACCAGGTGCTTCTCCTGCCAGGCCCGGCGCAGGGCCCGGACCAGGACGGGGTAGCCTGTCCCCGCCGCCCCCTTCCTCCGTGGCCCAGGCGCCGGCGCCATAGCCCTGTTCAGGCCCGCTGGTGCCGCCGCCAAAGCTCTCCCCCGGCTGGCCTCGCCCGGCGTCGACAGTTCCGGGGGCGGAAGTGTCCCCCCCTCGACGGCACTTCAGAAGAGTCTGGGGGCTTGCCCGGGGGTGTTCCGCAGCTCCGGGGTTTCTCGGTGGTCTCGCGTCCAGCTGGAGATTAAAGAAAGCCAGCTCAGCACTACCTTCTAAGAGGGGTGTTTGTAAAGTCTGCTACTGGACGGGAATGTACAAAGCGGGCTTTCCCCTTGCCTTTGCTCAAATGCTTAGAATAGGATAGGGATAGGGATAGGATAGAATAGGAATAGGATAGAATAACAGAATAGAATTGGAATAGAATAATAGAATAGGAATAGAATAATGGAATAGAAATAGAAATAGAAATAGAAATAGAAATAGAATAGAATAGAATAGAATAGAATAGAATAGAATAGAATAGAATGGGAATAGGGAGTTGGAAGGGACCTTGGAGGTCTTCTAGTCCAACCCCTTGCTTAGGCATGAAACCCTACACCACTCTCCACTTAGGCTCTCCTAGTGGTCTCCCTTCCGTGCCCTAACCTCTCGTGGCTTGCCAAGGCTGTGTTGTGGCTACCAAGCACTGGATCCACGGCAAAGGTGTAAGAATGTGCTTGATTTGTGCCTGCAGCCTCATGAATGTCCCAAGCTTACTCCACTAAAATAAAACAATGAAAATGAAGGGAAACAAGTCTTCACAGCAGAATATATACTGCATGATTGTCATATACATGGACGGAGGGGAAAGTGGTGGACAGAGAAAGGGAGGGGGAGAGAGAATAGAGGGCGAGGAAGAGAGGGAGGGTGAGGGAGAGAGAAAAGAGACAGAGGTCCTAGCTGAAGCTCATACTCCCTCTGTCAGCTTATCCCATTATTTATGTTTTATTTGTTAATAACATTGTCAGGCATTGAACCCAGAAAGGGAGCACATGTTTTTATGTTTGCAATTTTGTTTTAAAAAGTATTCATCCACAATACATTAAACTCAATTGGTATTAAATTTTTCTATTCATTTAGTGTTTCAGCAGTCTGTGCAAATGCCCTGGAGAATCCTCAGCTGGGTGTCTTGAAGACATTTCATTACCCTACTAGGTAACACTATGAGTGGTAGCTGAGTAATGAAATACTGCAAGAAAGCAGCCAAGTCCTGAGAGCCCCAAGGACTCTTCATTTCAATCCTGAGCTACCAACACGCCCCTTTATTTAATAATATTTAATATGTATATATATGTTAGGGTGTAGGCATATACACGTCATGTATATAGCATATCTGTATGTGCGTTATGTATGTGTACACTTTTCAAGAGCAGGCAACAATTTCATTTTTAATGTGTGCTAGAGTGCCCACGGGGGAAAATATGACAAAAGATTGTCTCTCTCATATCAGATCTCCAACTTGGGGGGGGGGGTCAACTTGAAGTAGGAAATAATCCCAAATGTGCTTTTTTAGGAAGCAACTTGACTTTGTCTTTTCTTTTGAAAACGCTTCGCTTCTCATCTAAGAAGCTTCTTCAGCTCTGACAGGATAGTCGGGAGTGGAAGGATTTTTATTCCTTGCAGACAGCTGGTCATTTGCATCCTTTTAGAGCAGGGGTGGGCAAACTTTTTGGCTCGGGGGCCTCATTGACTTTTAAAATTTGACAGACGGGCTGCTACCTGGTGTCAAAATGCCTGTTATTACAAGTCAAAATCAAATGAATGCAATCATTCAATCATTCACATCAAACCTTAATTCTTCGGCGGGCCGGATTAAAAAGACCAACGGGCCGGATGTGGCCCTCGGGCCGTAGTTTGCCCACCCCTGTTTTAGAGCAAAGGTCTCCAAACTTGGCAACTTTAAGACTTGTGGACTGGAGGAATTCTGGGAGTTGAAGTTCACAAGTCCTAAAGTTGCCAAGTTTGGGGACCCC